AGGGAAAGGAGAGATGTGGAAAGGACATCCAACAGACATGGACCACCAGTGGTGCGGCACCACCATCTTTGAGGGGCAGAAAAAATAAGTTTTTTCTGCAGGTCTTATCAGGGCTGGCCCACGGTCCTATAATAAGTTCATCACTTTCCAAATTCATATGGTGGAGGGGACCAGGAATATGATTTTTTTACTCCTGCTTTGCAAATGCTTTTCTGTAACTTGCAGGACTTACCTGACTTCTCCCCCATGCTTATAGAACAAAACTTCTAAAAAATCAGCATAACGGTTATAGTATTTTTGAAGTCTCATGTAAAAGATTCCGTGTGAATGAGAGAATGTGTGAATGCTGTCCTGGATTTCGTCCACTGTCGCCATTACAAATGGTGCAGTGCTTTTCTGACAAGAATGCTTTTTTCTACGTATTTCCTGTTTTTTAAGTTACAGCTAGGATTCTCATAAATATTTATCAGGTGTACTATGGAAAACTTCTGTTGCTCCTGACATTTAGTACTCAAGTTCTTTTTTAGGTTCTTCTGAATATTCACAATAATGAAGTAGTTGTGGGCATTGCGTTAACTGAAGAGAGCCTTCACAGAAGAAATATTACCCATTTTGGACCCACAACCCTTCGTTCCACTCTCGCTTATGGCATGCTTAGGTCAGTGCGTTTGCATAGTTTTATATTACTCTGTTAACAAGTCATTTTATTTCAGAAATTAGATCCTTTATCCCCCCCACTACTCCTTCAAAAGCCATTTCTGTTAATTCTTAAAAACAAAAAAGGCAGAGTTGCTGAAACAGTGTGCTTTGTAATTAAGTGGGTGCTTTCCAGCTAAGTAAACATTTGCTGTGATCCATTAGCCAGTTTTCAAATTACTGTGTCACATTCTTGAAAGCATTTCACTGTTGCTGTTTATACAATGCTAATCATTGAATGGAAAAAATAATCATAATAACCCTTTTGTTAGAAGGGTAGAATCAGAGTGATTAAAATAGTTCAGTCTTCCTTCCTTACAGAAATTCAAGTTTTTAGGACCTTTCTCACCATATCTTTTTTCTGTTCCTCAGACTCTGTAACCCACAGCCAACAGATATCATAGTTGATCCTATGTGTGGCACAGGTGCAATACCAATAGAGGTGATTCTTCCTTTATTTTTTAACTTCATAAAACTTGACAGTGTCTGCAACTGAATAGTACATTTTCTTGGTAATAACTGAATAGCCAACTCCAAAAGTATCTCGGCAACTCCTAAACAGATACAAATATGTTTTTCTAAATGACCTAATTTACCCTCCCAAAACTACAGCAGGAAGGAACAAAATCCCAAAGTATTTTGAGCTTTTAAGATGCATAGTAGCTATAACAGGTATCTCTTACAGAAGTTTAAAATCATTGACGTCCACTTCCAGTGGCTTTGTTTTATTGTCATATTTGAGTAATTTTTCTGCTTGTTTGCTTTCGTGTTTGTTGTTTTGTTTTGTTTTTTTTTTTCTTTTAAATTAAACAGTGTTGATGCTAATGTTGCTTATTATCAATATTTTCTCCCAGGGAGCTTCAGAATGGCCTAGCTGCTACCACATTGCTGGTGATAACAACCCACAAGCTGTAAAGAGAGCAGCAAACAACATCAGTTCTTTACTAAAGAAAAATGAGAACAAGGAAAGGTGAGAAGAGTACAAGTAATTTTCTGCAGTATTGTATGTAAAGGAATACATTTTGCATTGATGCATTTGACTGTCTTGTTCATATTTTCATATTTATTCTTTTGTTAATGTTGGAGATCTCAGTTTAAAAATATTCTCGGTAAACCATGTCTGAGATAAACGTCTTTGCACTTGCAGCAGTACTTCCTCGGGCATCCCCTTAGACATCATTCAGTGGGATATTTGCAATCTCCCTTTGCGCACTGGTTCTGTGGACATTATTGTGACAGACATGCCGTTTGGAAAGAGGTGAGGTGTCACTGTGCTTAACTGCCGCTACTGCGTGTGCTTGCCTGTCTGGGGTTAGGGTTCTCCTAGTCAGTTACTCAGCTGGGCCTAATTAAGAAGTATTTATGTCTATATTAAAAATGCAGGTTGAAATTAATAGTAAACGTGATTCTGCATGAGCTAATCCACGTATGAAAGACCAATAACAGTTAACTGTTTTTCGACAATCACAAAGGGGGTCTTCATTTATTTTGCAGGATAGGGTCAAAGAAGAAGAACTGGGATCTCTATCCAGCGTGCCTTATGGAGATGGGTCGGATCTGCACACCGGGGACAGGCAGGGCTGCGCTGCTTACACAGGACAAGAAATGCTTTGCCAAGGTATGTTCTGTGAGAGAAAATCAAACCTATTTACACAGGAAAATATATTGAGAGAGAAATTGTAAGCTGACTTAATTACAGAAGATGATCTGGTTTTAGAGCAATAATTAGTAACATTTAAACACAGTTTGGGACCTGAAGAGTCATTTGATGTTGACACCAGATGTGATTTAGAATAATAAAAAAATAATTTCTAAAGCAAATTTAACCTTATCTTACCTTGAAGCCACCACCACTTTCTGGCTGGTTTTTTTTTTTTTTTTTTTTGGACTGTAGGCTTTGTCACGAATGGGACACATCTGGCGCAAAGGTCAGACAGTGTGGGTGAACGTAGGGGGACTGCATGCTGCAGTGTATCTTCTGAGACGCACCTGGGAAAGAGCAGAAGAAAAAAGATCATTCTGGTAACCCGCGTGGAAGAAGACAAGACACCTCCAGAATTTGTTGAGAAGCAGTCTGGTAAAGGAGGTGCCTGAGAGCATAGGTCTGTCAATTCCTGAGAAGGAAAAAAAAAAACAAACAACCTATGTAGAAATTGTGTAACATGAATATTAAACCAGGGATCAGCTTGAGAGCTACCAGCTGTACTCTGTATTCTGAAACCTTGTTACTTAAATCACCTCTTTCCTCCCTGCCACCCAAACTGGAATTCAGTAGTGGAATTAGTAATGCTTTTCTTTGCCTGAGTCTTCTCTACCATGTCCATTTTGTTTTTCAGTTAAATGTTTATTTCTTCTGCTTATAGTAGAGAACACATGGAGGCAGCTTTGGAGGTAACAGTGAATTTATTTCCCAAACTGTAGAAATGGTAAATGTATCTTAAAATGACTAACGGGACTACTTAGACTGTCATCTTGAAGGGTTTAGAGATTGTATCTCTTAATGTAGGATTTTGCCAAATTTAAGTTTTCTAATTAATACCATTGTCCAAATGTAAACTAAGATAATAAACCGTATCTGCTTTTTATGGTCTGATAAGCAAATGCCAATTACTAAACAGTATGCCGATGCTACTGTCTTTCTTACCTGGTACCTCAGCTTAGTGCTAATTATTAGTAAATGTCTGTGTTTTAAAGTACCACTGCTGTGGGTGAGGGATAACACACAGCCTTAGCAAACTGTCTGTAGTTACTATTTGAGAACAGGGATGCTTTTAGCAATTATATTTAAAAGTTCATGTTTTCAGTGTCTACAGTAGACTCATCGAGGTGGCAATATGTTTAAATTTGTTGGGTGATTTAACTGCTGTAGCTGTGCCACAATATTTACAGAAATATATTAACCTGTTGAATAACTTGAAGTTGCAAATATTTTTTCTTCTGTGAATGTAGTGTGACTTCTCAAGCCTCAGAGGCTGAAAACACTAGTTACTAATCCACCATTTTCATTGAATTGTATTCATGTTAAGTATGTGCAAGTGTTTAAAGGTGAATTAACGAGTATTAAAGTTTTTGAAATTTTGCATAGTAGATAATTATTCATTGTATTCTTTTTCTGGTCCATGTCCAGTAAAGCATAATGCAGCCTTTTATTTACTACACAATTGTCTTTCTGGATTAACCAGTGCCCCCAGCATCCATTTAATTCTTTCCCACGCTGCATGGTTTCTGTGACAGCGCCGAGGTGTGACGCACAGTCGTTGCATGAGGTGGCTATCTACATACCCCTGCTCTAGTGAGCTTGACAGCTTAACTTGGACATGTTACATCCTTAAAATGCATTAACACCTTGGTGGTTTCTTATTGTTGTATCTTTTTTTTAAAGGAAGACCCAAGCACAGTAACATTTTAAGACTTCTAGTTTGCATTTTGAAGTACTTTTCCCCTTGAGTTCAAGATTAGAATGAGATTAGTAAAATGCCAGTCATCACTTTTGGCCTGTAGGTGACAGGGTCATGTTTTGTTTTTTAAACCACAGCTAACATGAACTTGATTCAATTCACATTGATGTGACTTAGGAAAGTAGGCTTTATCTAACAGCAGGGGAGGGGAACTATGATTATTGACTGCTGCAGTGAATTTCTATTTTATTCTCAATACTAGTCACACTAAAATATACAGCCTCACATAATTGTGTCATATTTCATAGGAAACAGTTTGAAATAATTAAAGAATGTAGGACTGGGAGGATGTACAGTGATGTATGTATATCTCTGCTCTCTTGTAAATTTGTGCGCCAAGTGGTACAATTTAAAGCGGCTTCTCTTAAAGATTACACTTCTGGTTTTATGGAAGATTAGTGCTAGACACTGAGGAATAACAGGGTTTATTTCAGCTAAGAGCATCAGCCTCATGCTGTGTGTTCCCACAATGCTGTTTAGTTTCTTAACTGTGTCAGTAAATATCTGAAATATACACCCCTTCACAATGTGAATTCACCATTTTGCTCTCACAGAAGGGAAGCAGGGGCAGCGACTTCTTTCGAACGCGGGCCAGCACGCCTCCCCCACAGTTCCTACACATTGCACTGGAAAAAAAAAAATTAGCTGACAGATGATGGCTCCTCTTGTGTCATTCTCAACCGCTTTACATACTTCTCCCTCATGAAAGGGCCGCCCTTCATCTAAATCTTGCTGCAGAACGTTAAGTATTATAAAAGCTGGACCTACAAGTTAAAAAAAAAAATTCTATGAGGAAAAAAACACGCTAAACCGCCTTGTAGGCTATCTTACACATTTGAAAAAGCAAAACACCTGCTGTGGAGGCTTACAAATTCTTCCAGGGAGGCTGGAATCAGCCCGGAGCGCTCCCGCCGCCCCTGAGGGACCGTTCCTGTCAGGGGGCTG